TATCAGTCAAGAGGGTCAGCCTATCGTCTTTTTCAGTGAGAAATATAATGATGCAAAATAATATTATTCTACCTACGATAAAGAATTTTACAAGATTGTGCAATGTCTTATGTATTGCTGATATTATCTTCTGCAACAAGAGTTTGTATTGTTGTTTCACCGCCAAGCCTTAAGGTACTTAAATGCTCAAAAGAGATTAAATGCTTGCAATACCAAGTGGGTTGAGTTTATCGATGAATACTTTTTTTTGTAAGTAAGCATTATTATGGCACTCAAAACAAAATTGTTATACCCTTAGTGGAATTTTCTACAATCCTATCTGAGTGTCAAGGTCATAGGATTCGAACGATTAAAAGATAATATACTCAATGTCCAAACTTAAGTCACATGTATCGAGAAGCTCATGATGAAAACCATCATGAACATATAAACTTTGTTCTTAGGGGTGGTTATCAATTTCGATCTATTAGATTGTGTGTTTTCTGATCCTCCTTTCGGGACTTCCTTATTTGAGAAATGCATGCAAGTAGATTAGGATGTCACTTAAGCTAAGACAAAACCATTGTATTAGTCGAGGATAGATTTATTGGCTTTCTTTAAAGTGAAATATTGCTTGAGTGGCATCGTAGTGTCGCACCTATCAAATTGCCAAAACTCACAAATACAATACTAGCCAATACACCCCATTACCCATTCCATATTTATCATGGTAAGATGTGAGTCTAGATTTTGTCCTTGGACTTCCCAAAAGAACCCGTGGCCACGATTCTATTCTAGTTGTTGTTGATTGATTTTAAAAATGACCTACTTTATTTCATATAACAAGACTAGAAACACCCTATACATTGCTAAATTACTTTCCAAGAAGTGGTTAAATTATATGGCTTGCCTTTAACCATGGTGTTATTATATGACTTGCCCCTAACCATGATGTCATTACATGGCTTGCCCTTAATCATGGTATCTTATAAGGATATGAAATTTATTAACTACTTTTAGAAAACTTTATAAAAATTGTTTGGCACAACATTAAAATTCTCTTCGGCCTTTCACCCCGAGATTGATGATCAAACCAAGATTGTTAATCGTTCCTTGAGAAATCTTCTTAGACGTTTAATTGGAGAAAAATCCAAAAATTAGGACTTAACCTTAACCACTATACAATTTACATATAATCGATCACTCCACAGGAAAAACTCATTTCAAACTATCCTCATTTATACTCCTTGTAACCCCATTGGCTTTACACCCCTTCCACTTGGCTATTGTGCCTCAAAACTATCACACTCATCTGCTTAATATTTTTTTAAGTAACGAAAGTCATAAATTTGCTACCAATGCATACTGTAGAAGTTAAGAGTCTCAAGTAAATATCAAAATCCATATTGTATTAAGTGTAATCATTTACTATTTAGGTATCTAGTTACATTTTGAATTATCAAAACGTATACTATTTCTCTAAGAGTTACTCTTGAAAATTATTATCTTCATTGATTATATTAAAGCTCCTAAACCCCTATAGATAATAGAGCTTATCAATTTACTTGAGATTTAAATGAAAAAGAAATACATCTTCTCTCTACTAATCCCATACACTCTTCTCTTACTATCTTACTTTCTCTCTATTTCTCTCCTCTCTCTACTATATTCTATATCACTTGGTCCAGGCCTAAATCCAAAACTTCACAAAAGTATGATAAGATCATACATAGATGCTGTGTTTGTTAAACCAAATAGGTCTTTTTGTGAAAACATTCAAACTATTTAAGGTTTATGCAAAAGGTTCTGGACTTTCACAAAAGGCCATTTTCAAGTTTTAGCTTCACAGCAAGAGAATTACCTACGTCAAAAATGCAGCACAATCACCATGGGTATGCACTAGATGCTATTCAAGATGAAGAAGAAAACCCTCATTGTGAAGCTCGCCATCATGTCAAAAGCGTTCGACAAAGCCGAGTAAATTTGAACAAGATGGGAACTCAATTTATGCACATAAATATGTTGACACAATATACAATTGGTGGTTCACAGAAAGTGACAGAGTTCCAACAAGGACTATATCCAACAAAGCTTTGTGGTTGTAGAAGCAATGGCTCCTTAATCAGCCTCCGTGGATGATATAGCGAACAAAACTTTCTCACAAATCCAAATGATTAAATTGAGATTAAGAAAAATAACATAGGCGCTAGCATATGTTTTATCATCATTGTTACCAACTCAATTGGCATCTTAAAAATACATAAAGCAACATAGGAGAATCCTTCCGGAGGAATAAACCATAGTGAATAGTGCTCTAAGTATCAAAGGAGACGTATTACAATTATTCAGTGGTTTGAAATAAGCTTATGCATAAACTGAGATAACAAATTGAGATAACTTATTCACGAACAACATCCGAATGGATAAATATCAAATCCTATAAACTATGAACAACATAATGATACTCAATGGCATCAATGATATTAGTTGTAGAGAGTGATGTAGGAACAATATTGATTCCAAGCATGTAGGTACAATCAAGAAGGTTATGAATATACTTATATTGAGAATAGAAGAGAACATTCACTATGAGGATAACTTAGACACCAAGAAAATAATTGATTACCCTAAGATCTTTGATAGAGAAATTATTAATAAGTTTTTTTTCTAAAATTAATTAATTAATATTAATTTATTACCTATAATAATTAAGTCATCCAAATAAACCAATAAAAACATGATAATTCTTTCTTGAGAATAACTGAAACCAAGTAAGAGTATATATGTTCAAAATTCATGGTTCAAAGCATAGGGGACCTGCTTGAGACCATAAAAGTTAGTACAAAGCTTGCAAATATGTTGACAAAGATTGAGATCAAAAAATCAAGAGGTTTACTCATGAACTTATCATTGGAAGTGTGATCGCGAAGAAATACATTTATCATGTCTAATTATCAAAATTATCAATTGTTAAACATAAAATAATATAAATTATTATTGACTTCATAATTGAGCTGAAAGTATCACTGTATTCAATGCCTGCATATTACTGGAACCCCTTCGCAACAAATAATGCTTCGTGCTTACTAATGGATCCATTGAGATTTCACTTGATATAGAAAAACCTTGTAAGGTTTTCACTAATTTGATAAGGCATACACATATACATCAAATATCAGAATGCATATTGTTCAGCATCAGCATTTGTCTCTGCCCTCTAAATCATTCGGTACCACTTTATATGCTCTATGTAGTCAAGGAATATATAGTGAAACATAAAAAAGATTTTGTACTCGTCCAACAAGCTTTCAGCTTTTCCTACTGTTTCTAATGCACTGATTCTTCTTTGTAACTTGAACAGTAGAGGGTAGAGACATGTTAGCATTTTAATTTAAAAAATAAGGTCCAAATAGTATATAAAAAAAAGATGCATACAATGCATGACGCTTCCGCTGAAGTAGAATTTAGGGAGGGTTAATCAATATAGTCTTACCCACCCTACAAATATAGAGAATTATTTCTGACTCAAGCCCTTGTTATCAATGTCATAAAGGACAAGTTTATCCTTATTCCAAGAGTCAACCTCTAATTACAGTCCAAATTGTGAGAGATAGAAATTAAAAAATAAAAAGTCTCAGTAATTATCTCATGGACTGTAAATCAATGATAATTTCTAACCAATGCCAGTACAAAATGTAGAATTATTTTGTCTTTAGTGCACTCCGTAAGAATCGAGAATGGCCAGTTCCCTTCATGTTGCATTAGAAAAAGAAACCCACACAAAAGTTCGATTAAAGTAAACTTACTTTAAAGTTTCTTTAATAGAATGTTAAATCTGGTAACTAAATTTATGTATAATTTTTTTTTTTTACCATTGGAGGCAAGGAAGGCATCAGACGCTCGCCTAGGCACCTGAGCAAGACAAGGCTCGAGCACCTCGATGATGGAGCAGGTGAGCACATGCAACTAGAAGTGGCCTAGGCACGTGCTTGGGCCTAGGTGTCAAACGACTCAGGCATGTGCCTAAACTGATCACGGTTTGATCGAATTTGATGAGTCCAATGATGGTTCAATCGAACCAAATGACCCATCACTTAAACCCGCTCTCCCCCTCCCCCCCTCATGCATGAGAATAACCCCAACCTCCTCTCTAGAAAGCCTAGCGCTAGTGGATGCGAACGACTTCCTCCCACAACAAAACTAGCACTTCTATGACAAGTGAGTGACTTCCTCTTACACAGAGGCCCTTCGACAACATTTTATTCTCACAATAACTCTCCTACTCCTCCTCAATAGTCCCCTCTCAACCTAGGGTCACCAAGCCTCTCTAGACACGACAACTCCCCTCTCCTTCCTCCTCCTTTCCGATTCTCCTCCTCCCTCTTCTCATTAATTATACTTCTTTAATTATTATATTTGCAAGTGCGTTGCTTTGTTTGGGTGAGATAACACCTCAGATGTTTTGGCACTTTGGCGCCTTTGACTACATCTCCTGCAATTGATCTCATTTGGAGGTTATGCCAATGAAAAACACTTGCAAAATAACTAAAAACTGGAACAGCTATAAAATTGCCAAGAACAAGCTGTGCACTATTTTGTCGATATGAGAATCCAACATACAAAGCAATAGCTTAAGTAAACATATATGTCATTACATGTCGAGACAAGATCTAAACTGTTTTCTTCTTTGTCTATTTTAATTTCAAATATGAATTGTGTACTTCTAAACTACAACCACTATTAAACATCACACTCAACAAAACATTGTAAAAACCAAACCAGAAACTTAAAATAGATCATCACAAACGAAAACAAAGAAGAAAAATTTAAAGCATAAAACAAGATATCAGAACTCAAAACATATTTGATACCACTGGAGATAAAACAAAAACTGGAAACAACAGTATGTTTTGGGAATTGCATAGACTTATATTTCCAAATATCTTTTCACAATTTTACTTCACAAAAACTATGTGCATAATCACTATTATGCCACCTTGTAAAAACATAATGCAGAAAAATGTAAACCATAACACGATAATTAACAGAAGAGTTCTCAGTAACACACATTTTAGAAAGATATAAAGCATGTATCTAAAGCGAGTACCGAAGATGAAAGGCCGAATTAAGGGCAGCCACAGGAATTCTGCGACGCCACGAAATCCGCTTCCCCTCCGCTTATAAAGAAGAAGCACCCGACCGTCAGGCCGGCGACGACGGCGACGAATACGCCGACGTTGTAGGACATGACGGCGAGCATGAGGAGGTACCCGACCGCGGAGTTCACGCCGAAGAGGAGGGCGGAGGCGAGCCTGGCGGATGGGCGGAAGAAAGCGGAGGCGGAGGGGGGCAGGAGGAAGGGAGCCTCGACCGCCGACGGGGGCGGCGGCAGGGAGGGCTTGGATCCGGCGAGGATCTTGAAGCGGACGCGGCGGTCCTCCATGTACTGGTAGAAGAAGGCAGCGGCAAAGAGAGCGAGGAGGCTGAGGAGGTAGCCCGGCCAGGAGTCGGTCCGCCACGAGTCGAACAGGATCGTCGCCTTCTTACCCCAGTAGAAGGTGATGTGCATCATCTTGAGGGATTGGAGGTGGAAACTGAAGCTGAAGCTGAGCACACCAAGACGTTATAAATTTGTCCGTCTTGCCTGTCACGGTTTACCTCGGCGATGTCACCAAATAGCTTCGGACACGACGGGGGTTTTCAAAAGTGTCATCGTTGGTTTAAACACAAAGAGCAAACGCCTTTGTAACCCTTTCGTGAACTACCCGCTCGTCTACCAAAGTTATGATTGGAGAAGAAAAGGACAATCCATGTTCACGTCTACGTTGTTTACTAGATGGGACACACCATGTGACCTGTACCTTCTTGGCGCATTAGAGAGGTTACCCAAATAGAATTCGAAACTACTATAACAAAGTAAAATCCCAATTATTGGAGATCCATTATAATTACAATTATAATTATATATATAAACTTTTATTTATAGTCTCTACTAATTTTTTTAGATAAAGAAATCTAACAAATAATTATTAACTTATACCAATTTATAAAGGCTGACCACTTGTATTGACTTCGAAATAGCAAATTCTGAATTATCAGACTATTATCACTGAAGACAGAATTTTGAGGTATCTTACTGCAAATAGATCCATCGAGTATGATTCCCATCACAGTTCAGTGATTCCAATGTTCTGTCAAGTCATTTAGTATCACATAAAAGACGAGTAAGACACAAACAAAACTGTTCATAAAAATTGAAGCTACAGTACTAAAATCAAATCACAACAATAGAAATGGCTGCTTCTATACTTGGGGTAGAGTTCTTCAAATGGCCGTCACCGGCACATCATTCAGGACAAAACAAAAACAAAAAAACACAAAATATTCCTGTCGAAAGCTATGTCATATCAATAGCAAATATAAGGTATGCTGTATAAAAGTTGGACGACATCAGAAAGATTAAGAAAGAGAAGAAAATTTTGACACAGCAAATAAACATGATTTTGACTTTTCTGTCTTTGATGAAAAAACAAAAAAGGAACAATCACAAAGAAAAAGCTAAACAAGGTAAAAGTTTATATAGCTGAAATCATACATCAAATGGGAGTTTCTCAATGCCTTGCACAGTATTTCTAAGAAGCAACAAAGCCCAAACACATGAGATTTCATATATCTAAAACCAATGGCTGACAAAGCGAAAAACGAAAAAATGGACGATTCCAGTTTCACCTGTAAAGGGATGTATCAAGCGAAGTAACGGTGATGGAAGCAGATAACATACTTAGAGTCTTTGAGTTAAGTTGCCAACTACTTGGAAAATTAATAGCTATTTACAACAACTGATATTTCCTTCTAAAGAACATGGATTGTCAGTTTTGAGCCTGTAAGGGGCAGTACTGCATAGTATGTAACATTCTGCAACTAGATAAGAGCCCCAGTTCTTATAAACCAAATCTCAGTCTTAGATGCATCTCATCTAACTAATTAGGAATCTGCTAGTCCAAGTGACCTTATTGCATTATCCATCTTCTTCTTCGGTCGTTAACCACAAGTGATGCTTTCTTTTGTCGTGCCAGCCCATGCTACAGGCATGCTAGCAGGTCTTGTGTGTTGGCACATTCCGGCATGCAGCATGTATTGTGTTAGGAAGTTATGACAAAGGACAGGTGAGCCATAATTGCAACAACATGGTCACATTCTTGAAGCTAAACAAAACTATTTGATGAGATGATCATGATAATAAAAAGTTAGTAAATGGTAATCAACCACCAAAAGGACAGAATCAATGCCCTTCCAGTTCCCATTTGTGGCATTTGAGGCAACCAATTCTTTCGAGGATTACTTCCAACTTCACAAACAGCTTTTGTTAAATCTATCATCAAAAGCAAAAAAATTAGCTATTAGTGCAGCTCTTCCCAAAATTTCTTTCAAGCTGACAACTTTCAGTGGCAACAAAAGATTCATGTAACTGACCCTAAACAGTTGGAATTTACGGTTTTATCATTGTTGTTATTGTTGTTGACAAACTTTCAATTAATGATTATGCTATTACCAATATATACCATGATTTGTGCATAACAGCAGTGACAAGAAGGAAAAGTAAGAGGATGTTTGCTATCATGCCAATACTAGTCATTTTCCTTATTCTACATTAGCTGATAAAAGATCCTGAATTTGGTTAACAGATCATTTCAAACCATGGTGATGTCATGATCTTTTCTAATGCTTAGTTGGTTACAAGTATATAAAAAGACTTGGACCTACCCTCGACCACTTTTGATGTGGACAAAATCAACAGATAGAGAATAGAAGGTATCAAGGGATCCAAGATCCATGAATAGTCACAGGTGAAGTTTGTGTATGCCTTTCCGACCTTTAAAAGGTAGATTACAATAAGGTAGGTGAAAAATGAAAGGGCCAAGTGTAGGAGAGGTTGTTTGTAACATCAAGAATGGAAATGCTTGACTTTGCTGAATCCCTCAAAACACCTGAAAGTCTATGAGCACCATTCAGGATGAATAGATGGAAGAAAGGTGACAGGGGTATGGATATCATCAATGGGTTTCCTAATGATATTAGAGTTAAGTGAAGGAAAATAATGGAGAAAATCAAAACATGCTAGAGAGACAAAAGATGTGCAACAAGAAGCATTAAACATAGAATGAAAGCCAAGGAGAAAATCAAAAGCTTTTTTATTATTTTTTTCTGTGAGCTATCAATCATAAAAAGGCTTTTGACATTTAATGTGATCAACATGATGATATGCAGGCCTGGCACAACTTAATGTTTTAAAAGGAAGAAAAAGACAACACACTTTGTCCACTGAGATGGTAGCCATTGCATCACAGATGTCTATGAAATATATGTCCAATGATACTCTCAAAGGATTCTGTTACAGCACTTCACCATGATAAGTGTGGTCACAAACAAAGTGAAATAGAAACAATCCTTAGACTTTTGGTAAACAAACTTGATATAATATTTTCTAAATGCCACAGACCCAACATCATGAACTCAGTCCTTCAAACTTTGCCACCAATCATGAAAAAAGTGAACTTCCATATCAGTCAGAGAGCTTACACAGTTCTGTATTCCTAGAACCTCTTCACACTTTATAAGAGAATTTTATGGTGCCAAAGAGTTTTACCAATCAGTAATCAGCTTTCTGATTGTGAAGTATAGTTGGTTCTTCATTTTCCTGGTTCCCTAAGACTTTATTTCACATAGATTATTTGGCCAAATACAGATATACCTTGACCAGTAGTATAAATATCAACAGACAGCTGTGAGAAGATATATCTCCAATAAATTTGGTTTTGTGTAAGCAACTATATTACCAATGTGTGTTGCATCTTCCTCTACTTTCTTGATCAAAAACCTGTGTTGCGTGTTAGAATTACAATTATTGCCTGGTAGTATACCATGTTTTATGGAACTGATTAGATTGTTTCTGTATACCCAAGATTTTATGTTTTTCAAATGAATATTTCAGTGAAGTGACAAAGCAACCTTTAAAAATAAAATGTTTACGAACTATTCCATATTTTATCAGCTGATGTTGTAAAATCACTGACATGCTATGAACTACCGAAACAAGCTAGTGTCTACAAGAAAAAAATGAGATATTCTCGATTTCACGTCAATGATTTCAGGAAACCAAAAATGATCTTCAGATGAAAAGAGTTGGCATAACAGAGCAGGCAAGATGAATATTAGGTACTAAAAACTTGCATAAGTAGAACACATTTGCATGTGATCAGAGTCTGTTAGTGAACTAAAATGGTTTTCTTCAGAGGATAACAGTCTGCAAACTGCCAGGCTCATATGCTCCGACCGAAAAAATATTATTTCCTTGATCTACAAACATCTTAAGAATGATTCACGACAGAAGAAATGAAACATAGAAGTAAAAAGTCCGTGAAACAAAATTGTAATACAATCTACAAAGTACAAACCCTCACAAAAGTGACCCTACAACCAAGACGATACATTAAAATAATCATCCACAACGAACAAAAATGAAGAAAAAACAGAAGTTCAGAAAATTTTCATATCTAGTAATTCCCCAAGGGATGCAAAAAGTAGACACAATATAAACATGCTAAACAAATACTAAATAAAAGAGAAAACAAACTTGCTTACAGAGGGAGGGAAACTAAACAGGCGAATCCCCTGAGTTATTTGAATCCTCCAACAAGATCTTCATATCAGATACAAATATTACGTGGGACTTCTGAGCTCTCCATCAGCTACGCTAAATTCTTCAATACTCCACATATCTGTGCTGCTAAGACTTGTCACCTCATCGTTTCCCTCTTAAGAAATTAAAGAATATCAACTAACCGAATCATCAGTCTCCTTTCTTGATACCATCATGTGATTTAGTGAGATCTTCTTCTGTTGTTTAAAGAAGGAGGGCACCCTTCAAAAAAGTCGGACAAGGATATCTCAAGATCCTCAACAGAGTACTTAATGTACATCTCAGGGTGCCTCCCACTCTCTATATGTTGCCGGAACCGGCCAAGAAAGGACCTATACGCTGGTAACAACTTCTCGGAGATCGAAATCCTCAATTCCTCTCTCAGCTGTGTGTCTGGCACAAACCATATAGCTTGGGTTTTATGAGCCTCCTCGAAAGCAGCATTGAAGGCCCTGAACCTCTCCCTCAGCATCGACTTGGAGACGCCGGACGAGAAGCTCCCACTGACATGAATCCCCTCATCTCTCAAGCAGTGTAGGATTCTTACCCACGTCGCCCGCTGGTAGCTTGTTGCTGACAGCCGGAACTTCCCGGTGAGCTTTCTTAAGTATTCATCACCGATCATTTCACGGAGCTCAGGCGAACCCTTCATCTTGTGGACGATATAGTGGACGTTGTTCATCAAGAAGAGGTGGGCAAGAGCGGTATCCTTGTAAAGGTTCGCCTTGTTCTCGAGATTGTGCGCAAGAACAACAATGATCCAGATCAAGTGGGCGGCAAGGGGGGTCTGGTTCTCGGCCTCCGGGAATTCGATCTCCGGTGGTGTAGCCCCAACTGCGGCTTGATCATCGCCAGAGAACCGGGAGCTCGCCGATGGCCTCGTAATTATGAGCTCGATGAGCGTGGGCTTGTAGTCGGAGATTAGGCTGATGTAGTTCATTACGTAGCGAGTGAGGGGATGGATGGTGCCACCAGGGACCGCGGTCTTGGGTGGATCTCGAAGCACTGCGTTCTCGAATTCCGAG